CGCCCTAGAGCCGCCACTTATTACGTGGGGGGGGGGCTGTGCCGGGGCTAAGCAAGTTTCTGATGGGGCCATAGCCCCGTCAAGCCCCGCCCTAGAGCCGCCTACTTATTGCGTGACTGTCACCTTCAGTGGACGTTCTGGTATCCGACCTTGCAAATTTACTTAAAATAGACCTTGCGGTGGAGAAAAGAAAGTGGAAATCAGTGGCTTAATGATGTTAAACCGAATGGAGGATTTTCAGTGTATTGATCTACAGAAGGAAGAGCTGTCATACTGGATATTCTCATAAGTGGATTGTACTGACAAATTATATACTTGTCTTTTTGCATAATTTACAGTGACGTTGCAGTGTGTCTTAATGGCCAGCAGTCATTTGGCACATGCTTGTCATGTAAGGTGATTTACAGTACAGTCATTAGAAACATTTCCCTGGAGCAAAATGACTTTGAATGCTTTGACTGATGTGAACACAAAGAGCCATAATATTAGTAACGCAGGTCATTAGTCACTCCTACATGGATTAAAGCCTACACACACACTTTTTTCTCTCACTCTGTTCTCAATGCACAGACACACACATATACACACACAACATAAGAGCCTTATGTCAAGGTGTTCTGCAGTCATGTTTGCACAGCTGTTTGCCAGTCTGTTGTGGCAACTTAAGGTTTTTGTTTGCAGGATGTTGGAGTGTATTCTCCAATATACATTGACTGAGTAACCTGAGTAGTTCAACAAGGGCATTTTTATTTGTGCTGTGAACTGATTTGTGACAGTCCTGAAATGTAACAAGTAATAGCTTTGGAATTGCATACATTTCGTTCTTTTTTATGTAAAAGAACAAACACGCAAATTAATAAAACCAATCAAACAAACAGCAGTTTTGGCCATGGTCATGTGGCTGTGGGTATGTCAACATAGTCAACATCCTTTATGTTTATGCTTTGCTGCCATCCTCTGGCAGCACAGACGAATAACAACAGCACCAGAGACGATGTGAATAACATTTTTATTTTTATCCACACGCTACCGTTTGGAGTCAGTAATAATAATAATAATAATAGTTGTATTCAGTAAGGATGCATTAATCTGATCAATCAAAAGTGAGAGTTAATATATTTTCAATAAGATTTCTATTTCAAATCTGCTCATTTTATTCAATAAAGAAACCTGAAAAAAATTTTTGTTTCCACAAAATATATGTCTACCTAATGATAAAATAATAAGAATGTTTCTCATATTAGAATGATTTCTGAGGAATCATGTGACACTGAAGACTGGAATCATGACTGCTGAAAATGTAGCTTTCCCATCACAGGGGAAAAATATATTTAGAAATATTTTCAAATATTAAAGTTATTTTAAATTAAATATTTTTTAAAATATTGCTGTTTTACTTTGTATTGATGTACTCAAAGATGTATAGATGTATTCAAAGACTAAAGAAAATATATTACATCAGTGTTTGTTTGGTCACCATAATACCTTCATCTGATATCAACAAACCCAGTTTAGATTTTTATTTTGGTCTATTAAAACTCTAGCTTTTAAAAGACATTAGCGACAACATGGGTTTTCCATCGTTTTTATTGACAGTTTGTACAAAAAGAGGTATGATAAATCACATAACCAGCAAAGAATAGGCCACATTTACCATAAAATCAACTAGACTTAAAAAAAATAAAAAATAAAATTAACGGGAATTGACACATTTTGTTAGTGTTGGTCATGTTAGACTGCGCAATATAGACACCACACATGAAAATTGCTGAATATGCCATTAAACATGAAATGAAGATGAAATGATTCATCTAGACCACCGTGTTCAATATTTCTGTCAATCGGTTAGGCTCAGTTAATAGAATGTTCAAGTCTGTCCATTCAGTCCAACATTGACACCTGAATATTCCAACATCACTTTCTGAAATGCCTTTTTGAATTTCTTCGTAATGCCATTAAAGTCTCTGTGAGACCCTGAAGTGCATTTGTTGAATGCAAACTTAGAGCATCATGCATGCATGTTTGCAAGAGATCACTTTCTAACACAAGGGCATTACGACTTTAGATACAACACAACTATTTATGCACTAATTTTACTAATCCATCAACTATAGTCTAACTATTCTAATTACACTAAAACATCACGCCTGTTTTCCAAAAGCAAATGCTTTTGTTTATCAATTAGAACAATATTTAGCAAATCGCAGACTGAGATCACATTTGTTGTGACGAGAGTCCAGCATTAACTGCATAATATCTGATGATGTTGTGTGTATTACGAGTAACGAAATCCAATGTGTGGTAATGAGCATTACAGAATTCCAGAGCTTCATTAGCAGCATTACAGATATCGATGACTTAGAAAACAAAATGGATTTGAACTGGACAGAAAAGACATTGAAATGCATGAAAACATAAAGACACATTACTTCTGCTTATGAATGATGGATGCTGCCAAAACCATGTATTTTGCTGCTTGAAAAAAAAAAAAAACTATTCAAAGATACTTACAGGACCATTAGAGGCACTGTATGGGATATACCAACATGAGGTTTAATATATAATTACCTTAAATGATCATTTTAAGCCAACATTGTTGGTAACGAACTGTCTGTGGAAATTATGTGGATAACGTCTAAATCACCAACATGAACAGTTTGAGATCCTTCATATCATGAGGGTGTGAAAGTACAGACAACAGTAATGTAAACAAACAAGCAAGATGAAAACACTTGGAAAGAAAAAAACAATTGTGACTCCTTTTCAAGCAACGAGTCCAGGGCCAGAATGAGGAGTGATAAACAAAATGATATAAAATGCATTAAAAAAAGATAACATTCCACCAAATGAGTTTCACAACATCCTTCTGTGATAAATCTATCAAACAAATGCAGTCATTCAAATAATACTACTGCATAATCAGAGGACTTAAGTTATGAACACTGGATATTTGATATGTATACATACAGTATATACACATACAAGAATATCCTTCACTAAAAGTTTAGTACACTGAACTGTACAATAACTTCCAAAGGGAACTGTTCAGCAAAACACTGTCTTGCTTACATAGTAATACTATGTTTTACAATACAAGATCAAAATTGTTCCAAACAGAAAAAAAACAGCCTAGACAGGCCACAAAGTGCATAAACGGTCAGTCAGAAGCCACTGTTAGAGGAATCCGTAGGGTGGGAACAATTCTGCAGCTTGTATTCCCACTCAAAAGTGGAAAAATGACTATTGCCTTACGACGAATAATATCGTCACGACTTGGCATGTTGTTTGTAGGCAACATGCTCGTAGGCAACATGCTCAGGGATAGCATTAGCCACTACCATTTAGCCATCGGTAAATTCATCTCTGGCTCTCGCAGACACCTGGGATTCAAGTAGAGGCTTTGCAGCAGTGAACGGTGGCGATAAACTCGAGAACGCTCCATCTCAGTTCAAATAGGCCCAGTGACGCAAGCAGGACAACATCTCCCAATTCAAAAATACCACCCCAAATTATATACTATACTGATATTAGGACAACGGTATGACACACACAAAATAAGTATGATTAAACTTAACATGAACCTAACGAAGAAACACTTCAGTTTGAAGCACATGAGGGGCCACAGATCACGTGACCGTCAATTTAACAACAGCAAATGGACATTTGTGCGCGGACAACCATCTGCCAGTTTGGAAAGAGTGGAAGGTGACCTTTAGAGGAGAATGCTTGAATTAACAAACTCTGGAAAGGCAAAATGTCATCTTTATGAAATGGTGAAATAAGAAAAACATCCTTTACAGTAGTGCTAATATGCCACATCTGAAAAACACTTTCTTGTGCTTTTTTTTTTTTCCTTCAAAGACCTTCAGTCATTTCAGATCTTGACGGGTTTGTTTTTCTTTTATTAAAACAATGGCTCAGATAAAATGATTTTTGAAAGAGCTTTTTTCCCCCCAGCCAATTCAGGCTTTTGTTTTTTCTTCAAGCATTCTCCTCTTTGATTGTCCTTTCAAAACGGACTTTTCGTAAAACATTTTTAAACAAATGAAACAGACAGCTTTAGCGTATCTGTTCACCATCGCTCATACTTTTTTGAAACACTCTCCAGTCTGACAGGCTCAAATCCCTCTGTTTCTCGGAGACTATAGCCCCCTTTGGGGGTCAGGGTTGACAATGCGTTTCTAGGATTTGTTCTACTTCCTTTGGTCTAAGCCTGGGACAATCTCTCTCTCGGTCTCCATCTAGCTTTTGCATTCTCACCCTGTTCGTCTCTCTCGCTCTGTCTCTCTCCCTCTCTTTCCTGTTCTCTCTCCGTCTGTTAACCATTGAGCAGGTAGACCACCAGCTCATAGGTGCACATCATTATAGCAGTGTTTGGGATCTGTCGGACCAGATGAGTAGTGAGGCCTCGGTACAGTGCTCTGTAACCCTCCTCCCGGACCACCATATTTAGAGTTTGGAAGAACGAACGATACTTGCTGCCCTCCTCACGTAGTCTGGTACGAATAACCTCTGTCATGGAAGAGAGAAAGAGAGAGAGAGAAAGCGAGAGAGAGAGAGCAAGTTAACAAAAAATTATTTGTCAGAGAAACAAAATTTGGAAGATGACTTACAGTGGCATCCAAAAGTCTATCACAAGAAAGAAAAAATATATATATTTCTGCATTTTTTAATTTAATACAAACCCTTTCATTCTATATTATATTATACAAATTTTGTGGAAAAGTCAACTGAAAAATACATTTATACAGTTACTTGCATAAAAATTTATACAAATTTATACATTTACAAATCAGGACTTCGAGGATATTAATGGATTGTGTTTCCCACAGACTTACTGTCAAGTGTTCATTGTGTTTTGAGTTCTGTCTTCATTGCTTTCATCCTTTTGACCTAGTTTTACTGAGTTGCCCTGATTAGTTCATTCTGTTCACCTGTGTCTTGTTTAGTTAGTCATTAGCCCCGCTTTTGTTTTTGTATAAATTCTCCCCATTTCTATTCAGTCCTTTGTCTGTGATTATTGTTGTTAAGTCGGATATGCTTTGCTGTGTTCAGTCTACTCCTTGTTTCCATGTGGATTTACAATTAAAGACTGATTGATTGACTTCTCCTTGACCGTGCGCTCCTTTCAGCAGAGCTACGCCTGACAGAATCACCGACCTCCCCAAAATGAACTGGGGACCTGCTGTGGGACCTGCGACAGAATGGTCGGCCTTTGGAGAGGTATGTGGAGGACTTCCTGGATCTTTCCCATCGGGTGAGTTGGCACGATGCCTCGCTCGGTGTGTGCTTTCAGATGGGACTGGATGAGGAAACTATTTGATGCATGTAGGGATATGCCGGTATCAAATTTTCATGTTGCGATTAATTGCTAATGCTTTTATTACGGTATACGATATTATCACGGTATTGAAATTTAGTTTAAAAAAAAAAGTGCTGTCATAATACAGTATAACAGGTTTAATAACTTTTTTCTTAACAAAAATAACTGAACATTTAAATGCAATACAGAAAAATGTATAAAGTTTTACACAGATTAAAGTGCAAAAGAACTATAAAGACCAATAGGTATCACTTTACAATAAGACCTCATTAGTTAACCTTAGGCCTGTCACGATAACAACTTTTTGTTGTGCGATATATTACGCCAGAAATAATTGCGATTAAGCGATATTATTGTCATTTTAAAGACCATTTTATGCCACTGAGTGCAGAAGAAATATAAAGACCAATAATAGGTCACTTTACAATAAGACCTCATTAGTTAACCTTAGTTAATGCATTAACATTCACAATGAGCAATAGCTACATTTGCTACAGAAGTTATTAATCTTTGTTTAAAAAATACAAGTCTTAGTTCATGTTAGTTCATTAATTAACACCGCTGCAACTCTCGATTTTAACATCCTGTTATTAAATATTGGAATACCTAAGATTAATGAATGTTCAGAAGAATTTTTCATTGGCAGTTTGTTAACTAATGAATTAACTAATGAAGCCCTAATGTAAAGTGTGACCGAACAATAAAGAATCAAAACACTTTCAAACAATATCTAGGGCATGTTGTAGTCCAGATTAAAATGTAAAAAAAGTTTGAAAATAAATAGCCAATTAAGTCTAAATATTTAAGTATTTGGCGCTGTGATGAACATCATAGCAAATACACAAATCTGAATGGCTGTTTAAATCATTTAAACACAAGCTCTAAATTTAAACACTCTAGCACCCTGGCCACAATGAACTCAAATCCGCCGGCCACTTCACTCACAAGCCCTCCGACCGCTTCTTTCACAAGCTCGCCGGCCGCTTCACCCTCAAGCCCTGTGATAACTTCAGCATTCCCTTTAACGACAGCTCAAAAGAGGAGGATAAGGAAGAGACGGTTCACTGCGGCTCTAGCCCCTGACCAGAGTTGAGAAATGGCTCCTGATCCCGAGTTCTACCCTGAGAGTGTTCCAGTTCACGAGTTTAGCCCAGAGGTGGCTTCTATTCCCGAGTTTAGCCCAGAGGTGGCTTCTGTTCCCGAGTTAAGCCCAGAGATGGCTCCAGCACCTAAATGCAGCCCAGTAGTAGCGCTAATGCCTGAAAACAGCCCAGAGATGGCTTTAGTTCTCAAACCCAGCCAGAATCCTGATCTGCCACCGCTCCAGGACACCTGCCCACCATCCCCGGTTTGACTCGGTTTTGTTTTTCTACTCTCCTGCTCTGTCCCCTCCAGAGCTTGCTTGCTTGCTCTCCTCCTCCTCCTCCTCAGGTGGAAGTTCCTTTTTTACGGCGTGAGGACACGCCTTTCTGGGAGGAGGTGATCTGTCATGTTCATTGTGTTTTGAGTTCTGCCTTCATTGCTCTCGTCCCTGTGACTCAAGCTGCGTCCGAAATCGCATACTTCCATACTATATAGTAGGCGAAAAACGGTATGCGAGGCGAGTAGTATGTCCGAATTCATAGTATTCGAAAAACGGTAAGCGAGAAGTACCCGGATGACCTACTACTTCCGCCCGAATTCCGTAGCATGCATACGATGGACACTTTACTATCCCATGAGGCCACAGGAGAGGAGGCATCATATTCGAAAATGGTGGAAGGCGGCGACGCGGCTCTTTTCAAGTGTAAGTACCTCAGGGAAAAACCTTGTTCATTGTGGTTAAATTGCACTTGTTTAACATGATCTAAGTGAACGGCTGACTTATTGAAAGTTTAAACATTGTAAATCGATGAGATGATTTCGTGAAATCGATGAGATGATTTCGTGAATCGGCTGTAAAAAGATGTTTAATCATTTATATATTATTTTATTATTTTATTATGTTTATATTTATGTATATATTGTATATATTTAGCTATGTATGTATTCATTCCTCTCCCTCTCTCGATTTATCCAATTGTGTATTCATTCAAGTTTATTCATTGATTCATGTATTTTGTTTGTCCTGCGTATTTTTATGCATTTATTTATAACAATAAATTACTTTATTTCGTTGCTCCAAATGAGCCTCTGGCATGGTGTTCACAGACATGACTTTTTATTCTGAGGTAAAATTTGCTAGCTAAATAGGTGATTGTACTTACCTTATTTGATAAATGATTTACAAGCTGTCGACGAAGGCGTGATCTGCGAGCAGCTGACCGACGCCTCCTCTGAGCTGTTGATCCAATCAACGTTAAAACGCAGATGAAAGCGGTAAGAATAACGTGAAACACTGCTGATGTTCACGCAGTAGTGAGGGCTCTTTAAATTTTGGCGCTGTTGTGAAGACGCATGTCACGTGACAACATCAACATGGCGGATGTAGTACGTCCGAATTCCATTCATACTACTCTCATTCATACTATATAGAACGTACTTTTTTTAACGGTCGAGAAGTACGTTCAAATTCAAATGTAGTACCTACTAAGCAGTATGCGATTTCGGACGCACCCCTAGTTTTCCTGAGTAGTCCTGATTAGTTAATTCTGTTCACCTGTGTCTTTAGTTGGTCATTAGTCACGCTTTTGTACAAGTTCTCCCCATTTCTGTTCCGTCCTTTTGTCTGTGATTTATTAAGTATGATATGCTTTGCTGTGTTCGGCCTACACATTGTTTCCCTGTGGATTTACGATTAAAGACTGATTGAATTCTCCTTGACCGTGCGCTCATTTAGCAGAGCTACGCCTGACACTTACTTTATTTGTGGAGGCATATATATGCAAATTCATTCTCTGCCAGCAGGAGGTGCTTTTAGAGCGGTAAAGGTAGCGGCTGTACACAAAGCAGCACTCGGCTCACAAACTCTGCTTTATCAGGCATTATATGCAAGATGAAAAGAAATTCCCAAATTTTCTGAAGACAGTCGGTTTCCTTCAGAAATACAGTGATATTAAAAACACCCGCACCGTTTTTTCGATTTTTAAACGTGCAGTGCTCATGTTTATTCAACTAAGTCCAAGCCTTTTGGAAAATCTATTTGTGGTGGTCCGTTTTGATATTGACAATGTATGGGAAACACTGGATTGAGGGTCAACATGACGTTTCAAGAATGTTCACGTTAGAGCTGCACGATTCTGGATAAATCGATTTGTTTTTGTTTCAAATAGAGATCACGATTCGGAACTAAGGAAAACATGTAATTTACTAGAGGCTATGACAAAAAATGAATTGTTTCATTCTACTAAAAGTTAATTTTTAATAAAAAAAAAAAGATTGATTCAATAACTTTTTTTTTTAAGTCACTTGTCAATGTAGTCAACAAACATTATTTGAAGCACCAATTTGAAGCAAAAATTACTTTCAAATGATTTGCTACATTTTGATCACCGCCATAGACATCGTTTATATCCAAACTATAAACTTTTATCCCAGTACTTCTGTGATAATATGAACGACTGTAAGACAGAAATAATACTGTATGGTTAAACTGTTTGTGAAGCGGTTTCATTCCTAAACCTGGTAACTGCTCTCCTTGTGTAAGTGGCAGCACAAACGCAGATTTGAATGTTTCTATATGACTTTGTCAAAGGTTTAATAGACACAGATCGTTGTCATTTAGAAATAAGATCGCATGGGTCTTTGAATCGAGATCGCAATCTTTTAACGATTCATTGTGCAGCTTTAGTACAAAATAACCAACTGCCAAATAAACATGCCAACTACAAACCAAAAATGAAACAAATTTGCATAACGATAACAAAAAAAGACAGGAAAAAAAAAAGTAGTACTCACCGTGAGGATAAGCAATTGAGGTGGCACAAGTCTTGGATGTGGCAGCAGCCAGCATCATTCCGACAAAGTCCGATGCATCTTTTACAGATTCATCTTCATCATCCATGTTAGCGTTGGCCTTGGACTCAATGAGTTTGCGTTTAATGCTTTCATAGATGACAAAGTGGATGACAGTCTCTGATATGCCAGCATAAGAAGCAGACATGCCCCTGTAGAATCCCCGTAACCCATCTGACTGATAGACCCGCCGCACACACTCAAATGCACTCATGCGCCGTTCTCCACGGTTCCTGGAGAAAGTCAAACACGTATGGTAAATGTCAGAAATCTGGTTATAATATTCCCTCCTTCAATGTCCCCTAAAATATATAACGTTTTAAATGATCATGTAACACTGAACATTGGAGTAATGGCTGTTAAAATTCAGCATTGCCATCACAGGAATATATACAATTTTAAAAGACATTAAATTAGAAAACAGTCATTTTAAATTATAATAATTTCACAATATTTGTTTTTTACTGTATTTTCGACCAGTCTTTATGAGCCTAATAAACTTCTTTCAATAACATGACAAAAATCTTACAAACCCTAAACTTTTGAATGATAGTGTACAGCATATAGTATTACCTGGCATCGAGCTGCAATCGAGTCTTTATAAGCCAGATCGGGTTGGTTGCTGTAATGGCAGTGAACCCTGGGAAAAAGAGGTGTTCCAGATCAGGCTTGGAAGTGATATTGTCAGAGTAACTCAGAGCACAGGACATTCAGCAGGTCTAATGACTCTAAAACAGACAAACTTTCCCTAAAGAAACTCCACACTTCAGAGAAGTGCCGTGGACATCTGTAAAATATGCTTATGGCCTGTTTGTTTCAGTTTAAAATGTGAAATCTGAATCTCTTTTCGGCATATCATACCAATCTCAAACACCAACAGTGTGATATTGACTACATGTTCTCTTCAGGAATGCCCAGCATCATTAACAGCGATTACTATCGGATGTCAGGAATGCCATTACAGATCCACTAGGCACTTACTTAATATTTTCAAGTAAGAGCCATAAGCACATCTTAGAGCGGCCACAGCAGTAAATAAGGCCTTTTAACTAAAGCATTAAGCAGCTTTTCATCTATAACAGGACTCTGAAACCAATGTAGCTTAAATATTTAGTCCTATCCTCACTGAATTAAACAGTATTTTTTGGATCGAGTAGAAGCTAAATTAGATAAATATCTTTAGAAAAGAGTCTTAAGTTAAAAAGAACCACTATTCAGTTACATAACAGCAGCCAAATCACAAAAAAATTTTTTATTTACGTTAGGCAAATTATTGTTTTTCACAGCATGGGCAGTGAATTATACCACCGCTGTGGTTGTTGAAATGCATGCCATGTGAGTACTATGCTGGCAAGACGTTGTGATGTGACAAATTATTAGTAAATTACATTAGCACAACAATGGCTGAATTTATTTTATGTTTGCTGTTAAGGTATGTGTATGCAAAATAAGATTACATGTGTGTTTTAAGAGATTTAAAGGAATGGTTCAACTAAAAATGAACACAATTTACTCACACTCAGGCCATCCAAGATATAGAGGAGTTAGATTTTTTTATGGGAACGGATTTGGAGAAATTTTGCGTTACATCACTTGCTCACCAATGGATTCTCTGCGGTGAATGGGTGCCTTCAGAATGAGAGTTCAAACAGCTGATAAAAGCATCACAATAATCCACAAGTAATCCACATGACTTCTGGCTAGGGTTGGGTATCGTTAGAAATTTTCCGGTTCTGATTCCGGTTCCAGTTTTGCCTAACGATTCTGGTTCCGATTCCGGTTCCATTTAAATTAACTATTATTGTTTTTTTTACTATTTTACCTTAATTGAATGTAGTGTTGCTGGAAGGTAGTAAGTAATGCTGAGTAATGCATGTGCTTCAAAGTTGATGTTTTTTACACCATCAATAACATTTTGCTTTTCAAGCAGGAATAAGCTGGTTGGCCAAATAGTCCCTTGAAGGCCAAGACACTTGTTCATTTCCCTAAATTAATGAAATATTATACTTATAACCATGTATACACACACTGCATAAAGCCCCTATTTTACAAATAATAATGCAGTCAGGAGATGGTGTGATGCAATGAGTGGTTTCCACATTTTTAAACATTTAAAATGCATGAAAATATTTTCAATCACTCTTGAAATGACCTGTACGCTAAATAATCTAACCCTCATACTTGCATAACAATAGCAGTCTATTTATTTAGTGGGGAGTGCATGTCATGGGAAACAATGTGCTCAGTAATTAAAGAGGCAGGGCGGCATTTCTGTTATTTGGTTTGTGACATCCTTTACGGGAAACGCCGGCGCAAGGCTGCTCACAGCGCTTGGTCACGTGTTGCACCAGAACCTTTTTCGGAACCGAAACTTAGAAATTGCTCACGGTTCCGGTTCTGAATAAGAACCGGTTATCGGTTCCTAACCCTACTTCTGTCCATCAATTAACATCTTATAAACATAGACATATCTGTTTACTCTTGCTAATGGTGCTTGATCTGTACATATTTCTCTCCTGATTCAGACTAGACGACTTTTTCACTGGAGAAAGCAATATTATGGATGGAGAACTCAAACTCATAACAAACAATGGTTTGAAGTAAAAAAAGAAAAAATTGATGGATTTGTTTCTTACAAACATGCAGCTTTTCACTTCACAAGATGTTAAATCATGGACTGAGTCGTGTGGATTACATGTAGATTATTGTGATGTTTTTAATCAGCTGTTTGGACTCATTCTGACGGCACCCATTCACTGCAGAGGATTTATTGGTGAACAAGATGTAATGCTACATTTTTACAAATTTGTTCCAATGAAAAACAAACTCATCTCCATCTCGGATGGCCTGAGGGCGATTTTTGGGTGAACTATTTCTATTATGCGTGCTAGCACTGTATTAAAAGCATTAAAAGCAACAGTAAAATAGTCTGCCTGATGTTGGTGGGAACAAATAGTTTATCTATTCAACTGCAGCAAAATGAAGCACAAAGCCTGCACTCTGTGTTGTGGGTGCACAAAATATCCCCGAACAAAAAAAAACAAAAAAACAAAAGAGAGCATAAGACAATGGCAATTGGAGATGAAAACATTCATGTGCGTTTCTAACAGTACACAGTGTAAATAGTCAGTGTTTTCTTAGGCTAAACAAACCAAAAGAAGTCTATTGAGCTAGAGTAGAAGCTCTAGAGAGGGTAAGAGGCCTAAGGCAACTGACTGGTGAAGGGAAGGGGGATGACAGATCGGTATAAGAGAGCGAGAGAGAGAGAGAGAGAGAGAGAGTGTGTCTCTGACGAGTACTCACAGGGGAGGGGCAAAGCTCCTCTCCTCACAGCTGCAGGACGAAGCCTGCAGATATGGGGGGTAGAGCAGGCTGGCTCACAGACCCTCACGCAGGGTGAAAGCTACAGTAAAGGCCTAAAATAGACACAGGCTTTTCTGTACCACAGTCACAAGCAGCAGTCCACATGCCCCTCAGAGTCAAGTCAAACCCATGAGGGAGTGGAACACGACAATAAACCCTGCCCACCTCCCCAACCAAGCCCCACCCACCAATTACATCAAACAATGACCTTTCCATCCCAAACATTTAAGAGAGTGCTTTAATTTTCCTTTCTTTTTGAATGGATAAACGGAGAAAGATGGTAAGAGAGGTAGAGAGAGACAGAGCAAGACAGAGCGAGATGAAAGTGAATTTTTGAGTTTTAAAGGACATCATTAGACCAGTGTTTTTTATTTTAAAGTCCCCCTGTGGTCAAATATTTTATCCCTTAAAACTTATTTGTTCTTCAAAATGACATATTTAAATGTTTTTTCTTGTGAAAATAATTTTCTCATGCCTTAAAATAGCTTGAATGTAACTCTACACCCTTGCCTCATTTACTATACGCGGATCTATGGATATGCAAATTAGCCCCGCCTCCACTCAGTCACACCAGCCAGCACCTCCTGATCCACTGAACTGTAGTAAACGCAAAACAATGGTATACACGGATAATGACTGATAAAACTGTTTTTACTAGCGGACAACTACAGTGAATACTGTAACATTCGTTAAAGTTACTTACTTGACGATGTTGTGTCCTAAAATGCCTTAAACTCGAATGCAGCCGTTTGTGATTATTTCGTGCCCGCGAGCAACGCGTGTGAAGTGCAGACGCCGATGCGGGAGAGGTGGGTCTGACTCCGGGCTACTTTTACACTGTTGCCACTAGGGGTCGACCGATTTGCTTTCGGAGTGAGAGTGAATTCCGCATTGATTGGTCGGGCTCATGACTCCCAACAAATCAGATGAGCGGTGGGCGGAGACTGCTATAGGAATCTATCCCTTGACATGATTGGTTATTGGATTGTGACGTAGCAAACCGAGGGCTTTTTCAAACGGCATTTCTGCGTCAGCCATTGGGAAACTACAGTTTTAAGGAGAAAATACTCAGCAATGGTGTTGATTAATGGATTGGCACATGGTTTGTCTAAAAGCATATTAAAAACACTACATAGACAAATAAACAACATAAAAAAATTTATTTTCACTACAGGGGGACTTTAAATATAAAGGTACAGAACAGAGCTGATCTTGCTGAAGGAACACTATTTATCTTGATCATATCTGAGCTTCAGCAATGCTGGGTCATATAAACAGCTACAAAATCAAACTAGGATCAAAGTTTATATCAACAATAACTTTAAGGAGGGTCAGAGGCAGTGCATGTAAGAGTCCAATGCTAACCTTGTCATTTCTGTTGGCAAAATCATTGCTGAGCACAATTTTGAAGCGGGTTACATTCTGGTAAGATTGCTATTTGAAAATACTACTATGTTGGTGCATATTGCAGAGGGAATTTTTTTTTTCAACATAAAAAAAACGAATATGTCTGAAATAACTAGCATTTAATCACAAATTATATTATTAGGATAACAATTTGAGTGAAAAGTAAACAGAAAAATGAACAAAATTTATTATTTTAATGGAAGCAAAAAAAAAAGTGTTTTGAAGTCTCTTACACTCACCTTTTTAAAAAAATTAAAAAACAGTAAAAACAGCAGTATTGTAAAATATTACTATATAAAATCACTATTATATTTTTAAAAAATTTGTATTTAAAATAACTTTTATTTTAATAAAATTTTTCAAATGTAATTTATTCCCGTGATGGCAATGGTGAATTCTCAGCAACCATTACACTAGTCTTCAGTGCTACATCCTTCAAAACATTATTCAGTCTAATATGCTGATTTTGTGCTTAAGAAACATCTCTTATTATTAGAAATGTTGAAAATAGTAAACATTTTTGTGGCATACATAATACATTTTTCAGAACTCTGTGATCAATAGAAAGTTTAAAAGAACTGCATTTATTTAAAAAAGTTTGAATGTTTATTTCTAATATAATTTGGTTTAACATTTTTCAAAAATGTAATGTTCAGGTTGAAACTAAATTGATATTCAATGCAGAGTTTGGACTGCTCTGTATTACTGCACCATTTGATTCTTCAACGGCCTGATGTGGTTAATAGAGAGGCCTTACTGTGACTTTTATGATTTATATGATTCAGTCATAACCTAACCACAATGATGAACAATGTGTGGGCCATACATTACAATGCATCAGGTTGCAGGAACTGAGCTAGCGGCAACTGTAAACCAATGCTGATACAAAGAGCCATTAAGAAAATGACAAAATTAAAAATAAAAATAAAGTCACCTGTGCTTTTGAGAGGAGAGAACGGCACATGTAATTAATATTTGATAAGCCTGTCCCTTATCGGATACCAATTTTCCATTGTAAGCCTTCAGGGACCTATATTTAACCACTTTTGTAATGTAAGGGCTATGTATGCTACAAGATGGAGTTTGTCAGGCCGTGTGGCCCTCTTTCTCTTATCTTCAACGCACAGACAGAACATGCTAGGAATGTTTATGTTGCGACAAATGCGCTTCCTGTCTCGCAAAATAACACAGCCTACATATACTGCAATTGAATGACAAGGTTAGCATTCAGGATTGAAATTAAATGACAAAAAAAAAAAAAGAAGTGCATGAAGTTTTTCACTGAATTTACCTTTACAGAGGGTTACAGGCTGGCAAGGGGGCCATGTGTCAAAACTGCGTAATCACAAGGATGTTAAAAAAAAAAGAACTGCAAGCCAGCTACAGTGGCTACATTAATTTAAATAACCATCATCATTTATTAATAATCATTATCATTAGGAGAATCATGATCATACCGGTGAGTAGAGACGTGACTACCTGAGCCGTCCCGATCCCGCCCGTGTCAGTCGCGAGGACCGCTGCCCACCGCGCATGGCACTCTACATGTTAGCGTAGCGCCCTGCTAGCGGCCGCTACTACACACAGCACAGACAGCGTGTGAAGCCACACTGTTTAGTAGCACACTGGCATGTAATGACTTATGTCCTCCAGCCCTCAAACGGTAGAAGGAAACAAAAAAGGAAAAAAAGAAACTGGGAAAGGAAAGCACAACCCAAACTTTAAGGACCTTTTTTGCAATACAGATAACAAGCTTTCAAGCAGATATAACATGCTTGAAAGTGAGTCTATTTGTTTTAGAAATGCTCTAAAATGTATTATTTTTTAAATAAAATTTTAAACGTGTATTTTTTCACTTTTCTTTCTGTGTAGTCTACTTTTTATAAATTAATAACCGAATTTTTCATGACTGACAAATATTCGCTGTTAATATGATTACCGTCAAATACTGAATGTCTGCTTCAAAGAGAACATTTTTATCCTGAAAGTCTTCAATTGTGCTTTCGGTCTAAATGCTGTCATACCTTGAAAAAGGTAACCCAAAACACCATGGCTAAATTCTCCCATTTGTACTAGGAGAATTGTACCATTTGGTCACTAGGACAAAGCATTTTATCGTAATAAGGCTGTCATAGCTAAAAACAAAAGCGACTGACAAACATTGGTTATAAACACCCCAATGATGCAATCTCTGGTTTGTGCACACTAAGAGGTGAGTATCATTTTAGTTCAGTGTGTGAAATACAACAAAAAAGAGCCAATGCAAACTTAAGTCAAAAATGCATTTACATGAAAGATGTAGCTGGGACTCTTACCTGCTAAGCCAGCGGACAGCATGTGCACCTGTGTGGAGTCAGGATCAAAAACATTGTTCAGCTTCTCTTTGGCTGTGGAGTAGGCAGCAAAATAAATTGCTCTGTGGACAAAACAGGAATTAACAACATTAATTGGTTTTGATGTTCTGTTACGTCTGACAAATATATCAGAAGTAGAAGAAAAAAAAGATGTATTTACTTATAGCGAGAACATATTTTTTTAGATAAGTTTTCACATGAATATTTTTGGGTAGAGCTAGGCCTGAATGTACATCGTCCCCCTTACTACACAGCTTTTAACAAAACAAGAAAAACAAACATTATTTCTATGGTTCCGTTATTTACATTGATACCAAACAAAACCAACAAAACAAAACCAGACAAACAAACCAAACCAAATGAGACAAAAAAAAAAAAAAAAGCACATGAAAGATGTAGCTGGGACTCTTACCTGCTAAGCCAGCGGACAGCATGTATGTGCACCTGGAGTCAGGATCAAAAACATTGTTCAGCTTCTCTTTGGCTGTGGAGTAGGCAGCAAAATAAATTGCTCTGTGGATAAAACAGGAATTAACAACATTAATTGGTTTTGATGTTCTGTTACGTCTGACAAATATATCAGAAGTAGAAGAAAAAAAAAGATGTATTTACTTATAGCGAGAACATTTTTTTAGATAAGTTTTCACATGAATATTTTTGGGTAGAGCTAGGCCTGAATGTACATCGTCCCCCTTACTACACAGCTTTTAACAAAACAAGAAAAACAAACATTATTTCTATGGTTCCGTTATTTACATTGATACCAAACAAAACCAACAAAACAAAACCAGACAAACAAACCAAACCAAATGAGACAAAAAAAAAAAAAAAGCAAAACAAAAAAATAAAATACAAAAATACAACTATTTCTATGGTTATGTTATTTTCATGAATATTTTAAGGGACGGGTCAGGGCTGACTGTACATTATCTTAATTATTACAGTTTCTAACAAAACAAAAACAAAACATGACAAAGCTATCTGGGGTGATGTGGCAAAAGTATGTCATGCTCATCATATCACATGTCCTGTATTAGCTACCAGATTTATTTTCAAATGCTGAAAGGAGAGGGGGGGGGGAATCACCAGGATTATTCAAATGAAAATTTCCGATGTAGGATTTAAGCCTTTCTCACTGGGAGTTTTTTTTTCTTCTTCACTTTAATCTAGGTTACATAATTCTCGCACGCACACAACAAGGGCAAATTTTAAGGTCTCACTGAGCAACCTGCCAACAAGCCAAGCAGCCATTTGTTTCCTGAGGAGATGCTTATAAACACATACTTCCTCTCGCCTCTTCAAAACGACAACCAATCAGCATCCTTCCATATTTGACTGACAGCCAATCAGAACCCAGTCTAAATATCTGCCAATCCTGTGCAAGCATAATGCTGTATTTTGGTGAACGCCTTAATTTGGCCATCTGAATGAAATAACGTGACCTTCACGGGAGGATGTTACATAAATAATCTCAAACCGGATTAATCTAAAAACTGGAATTAATTATGGTTTACGATCTAAAGTGTATAGTTAATGTCAGTACGTGAGCATAAGCACATACCAAGCCTTATTCTTTACACATGTGTGGATTTAAAATTTAGATAACGCAAACAGTCACGAGGCAGCCATTCCAGCTGTGAAGGCAGAGGACAAACAGGACGGGAATGCTGAGAAATACATGCACAGATGGAGACAAACATACCTCCTGCAGCATAAAAAGGTTGCAAACACTGAAATACAGACATTTTAAGTGGCTTAGTTGCAACACCATCTCCCACATACCAATTTAAATGCGATTAAACTGCACAGACATGCACATGTCATTCATGCCCTCAAGTGAATGAGGGCATGAGAGCTGCTAGTCTCTGTAGCATAATGATGACACTGCAGTCAATGAACAAATCACAACTGATTCATAAGCGAGACAGGGAATATTCACTGGACTCGCTAGACTCATACAGAGTAGAGAATGCGATCACAGTCCCACAAACGCTACTGAACATAGTAGCTTTACTTTTATAAAATGCTGCATTCATAGTTCACTAGGTTTTGGAACTGATTAAGTGAGCACTATAGATTTAGGAATCCACTCTACAAGCTCTTAACTGTCAAGATCTAAGTGAACAGTGTGACAGAAGGCCCATAGTCAGTTTAGTCCGTAATAAGACAGTGACACGATCCCCTGGTGATGATGCACTTAGATTAGAGCAATGAGACATGACCAACGGGCCCCTTATGTAACAGTCTGAGGGGGAAAAACAATATTTTTTCTTTTCCATCTCGACTGTAGTGAGGAAATACAGCAAATCCCAACAGGAAACAGCGAGGAACACAAATCCAAAAACAAACGTTTATTATTCCAAGGCTGAAATGAAAACAGCCGACGAGTCAAACACATTCGTTTGTGACAGAAAATGAAAGTTCTGGCTAATAATTTCCTACGGATATGCTTGCAAACTCTGATTTCTATAATCTATTGCTATCATACGTTAATATCTTAGTTACTAATAACATTTATTTTAAATTTAATCTAGATTAATAGAAATATGCAAGTTTTTTTATACACACACACACACACACAGGTTTGTTTTTGTGAAAAGTGGGGACATCCCATAGGCGTAATGGTTTTTATACTGTAGAGACCGTATATTCTATTCCCCTTCCCCAACCCTACCCCTAAACCTACCCCTCACAGGAAACTTTGTGCTATTTCAGATTTTCAATACACTCCATTCTGTGTGATTTATATGCGTTTTGAAAAGTGGGGACATGGGGTAATGTCCTGAAAAGTCACCTTCTCCTTGTAATACCTATGTCATACCCTTGTCATTATACAAATGTATGTCCTCATTTGTCACAAAAGCGCGCACACACACACACACACACACACACACAGCAATAAAAAACATATTGTAGCTAATAGAGAGCCATAGTTAGGTTCCAGAAGTAAAAAATCCTATTCGTTTTCTCTAGAGCGAAATGGATTTTGAATAACTCAAACCTTAAAGATAGACTTACCATAAGCTATGAGGTTGTTAACTGATGGCATTTGTTTTTGTTGAAACCATCAGTCCACATTATTTCAACTTAGCTTTTAAATAATCATATTTAACAGTGGAATTCCAGGTAAAATACTATATTACTACATGTCTACAAATCAGAGAATCAAAACAAGCAAAAAGCCAAACAGAAGCCCTTAAGCACCTGACATAACAGCCTCCCTACACTCTCAAACTACTTAATTGTATATGCATATTTTGCAAAAAACGTAAAATATATTGTTTGTGTTTGTTTGTTTTTTATTCGTGTTTTAAATCTGAATTGTCATTTGAAATGCTTCATGGGATTGGGCTCTTTCCATCATTAAATCTGTTAAGTACACAGTCTTGTAGGGCTGTGTATCACCAGCAAAGTCACGATACGATACGTATCACGATACAGAGGCCCCGATACGATACGTATCACGATACAGGACTGCACTGAATTTCACCTCAGAAGAATTTATAAAAACAGCTGTTTATTAAACACTGCTTACTATAGTGCCATTTCTAATGACGATACATCGTCGTATCGATATTTTGAACACAGCACTACAGTCTTGTACCAGTTTTTTTGCCTTATTTAAAAAAAAAAACCATTTTTGCTTCAAATCCAACTTTGTAATGTTGGTTTGTGGATATTTTAAAATCCCTATGGGAACAATAAATGAGAAAAATACGTTTGGCCACTGAAAAAGTGGATGAGCACTGCTGCACTATTTAGCATATGTGTTTTGCATATGGGTCATACCTGGATGGAGCCACTCCCACCAAGTTGGGCCCCAGCCCCCTAAAGAGTGAGCGAGGTCCTTCTTTCTCCAGTATTAACCTGAGAAAGAGAGAGAAAGTTAAAACAGAATATGTAAAAAGAGAAGAATCCACTGCAGTGCCTATGTGAAAGCGTAGTGGATGCTAGCACCCCTTTCATTATGGCAATAGGTGCAAGATTTAACAATGTGACATGTTGTTACCATGACATTCATCATTTGCTTCACCATCTTCAATAAGTTATCCAGACCAACTGAGGGGTTTGAGACAAAGCAGGTAATTGAGAGAAACAATGCCTAGCTGTACCTTAATCAATGCTGTCTGCTGAGTGTAACTGCACACGACTGTTTAAATTATACAAACAGCAGACAATTTTAAAAATAGACCTCTGAAAATGTAATTTAGACAAACCTACAAAGGTTACAAATCTGGAGGAAGGAGTTGTGTTGACCAGTAGGGCTGGGTTTTGACACAAATTTCACAGTTCGATTCGATTCTCATTCACAAACTTGCGATTCGATTCGATTCAATATCGATTATTTTGGATATATATCAGGTACAGTACATGACAAATTTTCTCAAGGAAAAAAAAATCTTTCAACTAATGCTGTAAAATATACATGAGAGTCAATTGGTACTACATTACTATAATATTGAAGGTTAAAATTAATGAAGTTTTTACAATAATAAAGTTACAGTTACATAATAATATTTCTTCTTCAATTAATTTTTTTTTTTTTAAATATAAACATTTAAATGGTGGCTGTCATAAAAACTTAATGGATTTATTCAAACATAAATTAAACATTGAAGAACAGTAAAAAATATAATATGTTATATGGTGCATATATTAAGCAAAATTTAAAAGTTAAATGTGACGTTACGTGTATTGTTTACAAGCCGTTATATTGAAGTCTTTGCGCGGCTGAAACACTGATTGAGAGATTACATGAGACAGGATACGGATTGTAAAGTTGTACTCTTTCTTTTAACTTACCTTCGGATGTTTAGTCATGTTTATTTTGTGCTGAAACTGGTATTAATGTGGAGGAGATGATCGGTTCACGTGCACCTCGCACTGCCGCGTCTGTTGAACTGAGGCGCTACAGCGATCACTCCACATTAAACAGTGCCAAAACTACATTTGTTTAAATACTGCAATACAATGGACAGAATTTGAAATCTGAGACTTTGTTTCATATTAAAAGTACCAAAGCACAATGCTTATTGTGATTTATTGGATGGGAAGTACCCTTCAATGTTCCGTCCATTAACTGAAAACAGGCTAGAATAATCGATTCTTGGGATTTAAGAATCGATATCGTTCCGTAAAAATGAGAATAGATTAATATCGAGATATCGATATTTTTTACCCAGCCCTACTGACCAGTATTATACAAACTAGGTGAAAGTTAATGTTTTGCCATCAGAAATGGACATGTTCAGATTACTCTAGAATTCTTCTTTCAGAAGTTTATTACAAAAAAAACAAAAAAAAAACACTGCATCTGTAACTGATTTTCTCCTGACCTACTTTTCAAACTTTTTCCCTCTGATTCTGGAGTAATACAATAGGCATGAATAACACTGCTTGCCGGAGGCCAAAAAAAGTGATTCCAATTCTGGAGAAGACAGCAAGGCTACACCCAGAAACCATAGCATTGCAACATTTTGCCAGACTAGCAAAATACTACCAAATGTGGCTTGCAGAGCACTCTCACAGCTAGACTAGTCTTAAAGGGCCAAAAAATAGAAACAAACCAAATTCAGAACATAAAATGTCTGAATTTAGTATATGACACCCTTATCTATTCAATTCATGACCACAGGTTAATGTGAATGATTGTACAAAGCCTTTTTTAGCAACATGATTTTATACAAGAAATACATTTTTATATTATTCATTAAACAGTATTATTCAGTATAACAAGTTATACACATAAATTATTAGGTTTACAACTTGCAAGTTTCTATAATGTAACTCCATGGCAGCTCTTTACTCATAAATACTTTTGCTAGTAAAAAGATTCTAGGAAACTCAAAAAGAAAACCATGTCTATGTAAAACTTTCACCTATTCCAAATGTTTAGGTTTAAAGGCATAAAAACACATTCAAATGATGAATTAATATATGGGATAGTGATGACTGGGCAAGTGACAGTGTTGTCAACTGGCTCAAAACATTGTTATTGTTGATCTAACAGCCAAAACAGTTATAAAAGCATTTTGACTGCCCCTTCATGGTAGGCCAGCAACCATTTTAGCAGAACATAGTAGGGCTGGGTAAAAAATATCGATATCTCGATATTAATCGATTCTCATTTTTACGGAACGATATCGATTCTTAAATCCCAAGAATCGATTAGTCTAGCCTGTTTTCAGTTAATGGACGGAACATTGAAGGGCACCTCCCATCCAATATATTGCAATAATCACTGTGCTTTGGTACTTATGAAAAAGTCTCAGATTTAAAATTCTGTCCATTGTATTGCAGTATTCAAACAATAAATGCCGTTTTGGCGCTGTTTAATGTGGAGTGATCGCTGTAGCTCCTCAGTTCAACAGACGCAGCAGCGCGAGGCGCACGTGAACTGATCATCTCCTCCACATTAATACCCGTTTCAGCACAAAATAAACATGACTAAACATCCGAAGGTAAGTTAAAAGAAAGCGTACAACTTTACAAGCTGTATTCTGTCTCATGTAATCGCTCAATCTGTTTTTCAGCCGCGCAAAGACGTCAATATAACGGCTTGTAAACAATGTCACATAACGTCACATTTACCTCAGAAAAAAACATATTCGGTGACCATAAACTCATTAGTCAGATAGAAAAATAACCTGCCCAACTCAATCAGAGCAGCTGAGTCCTTAGCCATCTTCAAGAAACGACTAAAAACACACCTGTTCCACCTTTATTTGACCCTCTAACTCTAGCACTTTCTATTCTATTTCTACTTCATCTATATTTATCTTCTTTTTTATTAAAAAAAAACAAAAAAAACACTAGCTTTCTATTTTTCCTATTCTATCTACTTGTTTTTCTTTGTGCGTGTGTATAATAGAACTGAATCGTGAAATTTGTGTCAAAACCCAGCCCTAGAACATAGGAAGATGCAGGTATTCTGCTGGCTTTCGAACCATTATCCATCTTTCTCTCATTGTTCTGACACCCTTGTCTCTGTGGTCGCTACAGGTGGTTGTAATTTACAGTCAGCAAGAGAGACCCACAGAGAGACTGAGCAGAGAACAGTTGATTGCAAGTTCAAAGACTACAATACTGTTGATCATAAAGATCCTTTAAACAAGAGATTTCTAGTGTTTATGGTACCAACAAGTATTATTTTCTATAGAAATATGTTGCAATGTTTTTACCAGTTTTCACGTGTTGTTTTTTAAACATCACAACACTGGTTTATATGCCCTGGAGCATGATAAACCAGATTTTGCGAGGTTGGGTTTTGAAGTACTCACTTGAGACAGTGCAGAGGCCCCGGTGGGGACATGCGGGCCACACTGGCCCCATTCACAGTGCTGAGCTGAACCTCAGAGATGTAAAGAGTCACCGAAGAAGACTGCAGCCTCGTCTTCACCACCTCCAAAGGACATGTCAGTATTGCACCTACAGTGCCACCACAGCTAGAAACAGAGAGTAAATATTACTATCCTCTTTATTTACACAATATAAATTGTAATGAAGTTTTCTAGATTTGTTGAATAGAAAGTTTAAAAGAACAGCAATTATTTGAAATAAAAATCTAACATAGTAAATGTTTTTTTTTTTGGTCATGTTTGATCAATTTTATGTGTCCTTGCTAAATAAAAGCATTAATTTCATCCTAAAAAAAAAAAATCTTGCTGACCCCAAACTTTTGAATACTTTAAAAAACAAAAACAGACATTCTGGAGAGATGATGCAAATTAATAATTGAATTGATTCATTAAATATCATAATGTACAGACCATTATACATAACTGCATTTACACACTACTATATTCTGACATTTAATGGATTTTGCTTTTGTCAAGGATCAAAAGTCTTCTGGTATGAATAAAAAATAAGCTGCTGACATAAATGTGTTGCATTTTAGATGCCAGAGCATTTTTCCTTCAGCTGACATCCACAGTGATTAGACTTGTGAATGCAGCCTTGACTAACATCTGCATATGGGTTAAGTTTAACATGTACTATTTGCTTGTATGCATGTACACAGCAGGGGGGCTGGAAGCAGAAAAAAGTGGGCCCAGCATGCAACAAGTCAAAGGTTATGCATGGACAAGACCCACAATCACTTACAAGAGGACAAACTTACCTGAAACAGTGAATAAACCACAACAATTTGTCTAATCTTGATGGGTTTTCACTACTCAACTTTACAACTTTACAAATAAAATACCTACAATTATGCCACTAAATGTCAAAGGTCTGACAAGACACCTGTCAATCAAATTAATAGAAAGCTCCATAAACAGATTCCCTGCTTTTATTAAGTGCGCATAAAGTTGACAAAAACAGAACTGAATGTTGATATCAGTATTCAGTAAACCTGCTGACCTCAGAACTGAATTCCTGTGTTCTAAACTCTGCATCTCTCAAGGCCTATTTTTTTGTGCCGCCTTTCAAAAGACCGACCCACATGCAGGGAGCAGCTGTGAACTTTGTCCCAGATATGAAGCCCTCTGGTTTGTTGCTGCTAAGGTTTACACACTCACTCTCTCTCCCTCTCTATGGTTGGCCAATGAACAGTATGATCATGCAGAATTCACGAGCAAAACCCATTTTCCACTCCTACTAAAATGCTCTGCGAGGCCTTTTAGAGAAATTCCACTAGATTTGTATTATTCACAGATACTTACGGAATTCTACTCTTTAAAAAATATTACATGAGGAGTTTTGTTTTTGAAAAAAAAGGGGAAGTAGTCCAGGAAGAAAAGAAAGAAGCTGCATTTAATTTCTTCCGAAATTCAAGATCAAATGGGTAAATGGAAATGTTTCACCAAAGTGAAGTCCCCTGGTCAATGATTAGTAGTTTTGAAGCCCCCTCCAAAAAGGAGTTTGCACTTGAGGTTTACACAGCAGTGTTCAAAGTGCTGAAACTCCCAAGAGAAACGTAACAAAAAATCTTGGCTAAAGTAACCTGTCCCTTTTAAACAGGACCTAAACCAAACTAGTCCAGTCAAAAGTCATCTGACCAAACTGGCCTAGTGGGTCCTACACAAGTAACACTTGTGGTGCTGTTCATGAACACAATGTGTACATTTACTTTTGTATTGTACACAAATGTTTTTTTTTTTTGCATTGTGCAACATTTTTATCTGGCCACTTACAATGCATTTGTGTAAATTAGAAGTCAGCATGAAACAGAGGCTCTGATTATCTTTGTGATGAATTAAAAAAAATTATGTGCACAAATAAAATTTATAATAAACACTGCACTATTCAATAAAAAATAAATTGTCCATTTTGATTTCATGTTGACTTTAGGAATGCACTGACTTTCAAATTCTTACAGCCACATAACTTTCACAATTTTCACATGATGGCCAAGAACAGATACTAGTATGAGCACTACTATGAGCCTAAACTACTTTGTCAAAAAAACTGTTTGTATACTACAAGTAAATTTATAATGTGCAGTAAAAAAGTCTGAAATATAATATGAAAAAAAAAACAGTGTTTGAATTGGCGATGGAGCATTACATTTTTGTCATATTCTATCACTATTTATCATCCAATATTGAATAATAAATTGATAATAAATATATATATATATCATTGCTTTGCACTGACAAGGGAATCTCATTTCCAATGCTGAGTGATTATCTATATCACACAACAACTGATTGGTTTATCACACAGTTCTTTCTAGTGGCAGATGATCTGTTCTCTGCTCACGGTTAGCCTTATAGCTATAACTCATCACCAGCTATTCTCATACGCAATAGGTATGAATGAACTAATCTGAAAACATACCAACCAACACTATGTGACAAAACCCTTTTAACACAATGTTTTCATATGACCCATGAGGGGATTTTGCCCACATGTTTTGCTGTTATTATAAGCTTCTTGTTAGACCTCTTATCGCCCTGTCATCAAATGACATTCAGAGATATAAGCTTGTTAAAGAGAGATATACTCAACTCATATCTCGGTTACATTCCTGATTGTGAAAATTAGTGAGGCAGAGTAACCTTTGATTCAAAGAGCTAGCAGAAAATGATGTTTGGATGGGCCTCATAGAGCGCAAAAGAGCAGTCAGGAACGTGCAGGAATGAGAATGGAGTCAAAAATAGCTTTACTAATACTAGAGAGGTTGCTGTCAAACATCCAACGTCAAGCTGACAGTTGAAACCACAGGCCTGCAACAAAGCTTCTGATTTGCTACAGGAAATGGTATTGCTTCAGGTTCACACTTAGCTTGAAGCTTCGAGTTTTTCCGGTCTTTCATCTGAAATCTGCATGGCAAAAAGCACGAGTGAAAGCATCAAAGCAACAACACTTCCTGAAAATCAGAAAATGGCCATGTCTAGAGACTTCCAGAGGATTCTGTGACAACACCAGGGGCGATTCTGAATCTGTTGCATGACCTTGCATTCACAAATCAAGCATCGATCATCTGTAGCATGAAGACATACTGACAGAAGCTAATGTTAGCTAGATAATTCACAGCAATGTTGAATGAGCATCTACCTGACCTTTTATAACGGTCAACCTGTTTTCTGCAAATAATGTGTCTGACGTTAAATTTTAAAATCAATCAAGCCCAACTATAACGGATCAATGTCAAAGAGAGAGGCATCATGTTGACAGCTCTGATAGATCAGTCTGCCTCAGGCTTGCTACTCACCCTCCAGCAAACAAATGAACCAGGGTGTCCCTCTGACTCATCCTTTAGCATTCTCCGCACCCACACCCAGGCCTGCAGTGCGAGCAAGAGCCGGACAGCTCCGCCGAACCCGCTGCGATTCTGATGTACCGTTCAGTTTAATTGATGTGGATGAGGATAATAAAGCGCACAGTTATTCAGCCCGACGTCTCGCGGGCGAGATGCGGCTAGCTCAGCCCGCTAACGGCTGCTGATGTGCGCAGACGCCTCTTTTTTGCTTCTAACCGGTTCGTTTTTAATTTATCACGATCTTTTCTTTTAAACGACACAAACGGCTATTGGATATCGAGGTTGTGGTTGCAAGGGACGCGTTTTTCTGGAGCTCTGGAGCTTTCGAGCTATATCCGCGTAGAGTCGGTGGTGTCTGTCATTCAGAGGCTGCTGAAGAGCTGACTGAGATGGACAGCAGACTCGCTATTTACGAGCCAATCAGCAACCGCAAAACAGAAGCCGCGATTGGTCGGTTCGCGGCGTGACGTCTATTTGCCCCGCCCCATCATGCTCCTTTCACATGATCACGCAATTGATAAAATGTAAATATTGATTTACCTCGTTTTCAGAGGTTAAGACACATATTTGCAAATGAGCAAGAGATTGCACTTTTTTATTCTGTTCAAAAATAAATAAATAAAAACAAAAGCTTTTTTTTTTATTTGTGTGTTATGATTGACATGAACATGGAGAACCTGGAATTATCAGGAAATTTGCAAAGTCTGATTAAAATCAGAGAAATCTTTAAAAATCACTTTAATCCTTAAATTGCAATATTTCTATACAGTGCATTATTTTTTCCTAATTATACTCAGTTCTACAATATTTATTTGACATAAAATATTTATTTGATATATCTCTTTGTGAGACATTTTCAGTCAAATAAAAGATTAAATAGGCTACAAAAATCAGAAATGCATGCAAATGTTATAGCACTTCATAGGCAAAAAGGAATGGGAATACTGTAATATGTAAATTAATGAAACCTCAGAGGACCCGTTTCTGTCAGCTGACAGGAGTTACAGCACCACAAATCTGCTTTCCTTATTAAATAGCTGAATAAAATGCACACGCCTCTTGGTTTCAAGATTAGAGCTACAATTGAACAAGTTCAGATCATGTGCATGGAAAATCTAATTTCTCTTGGCATGCCAACCTAATGAAATACAATGAGAAAGTTCTTCAGACAGGGTCTTCCATATAGAGTTACATTTTTTTTACATGGTTGACCGATGACCATTTCGTTCTTTTATAGATAATATGACAATCACAAGGCTGCAGCTGCAAGAACAATGCAAAATAACAAGGGGGGAAACATGATTTTACCGGAATGAGCAACTGTGTTTTTAGCTGGGTTATTTAGATTTTATGGGGATGGCGAAGTGATGATAAAACATGAAAAGGATGGAAACAGTAAATGTCTCTTTCAAGCAAACTGGCAAATATAATTGTCTTAAATCCTAAATTTGTGAAATAACTAAATGTTATCAGCTTTGTGTCATTTCAGTCTCATGCCATGAGTAGTGTCACAAGAAAGCTACAATAAAATTAAACTTTGATGTGCAGCACCTTGGTATCCATTAGAACTTACATAACTACTCTCATTTAATGCCTAAACTGGTGCTGGAAAAAATAGGTCGGTGATTAACTGTGCAGCACAGTATTCCAATATATTGCCAAAGGGAACAAAGTTCACCATCAAACAGTATGTGCAGTTCATTTCCATTCTATTTCTAGCTATTGTCGTGTTTCGTGTTTTGAAACACAGTATTGCATTCAACTATAAATTCAAGTCATCATATTTTAAATCAGCTTAATATTAAACCATGATAGAAACATCTGGAGAGCAATGGTCAGCAGAAGAACTTTGTTTAACATAGATAAGAATTCTAAAATTAGATTGATCTGTAGGGTCAGTTACTCCAAACACCATAAGGAGAAAATTTGCTTGACCTATAGTCTAACCATATTTCTTTGATTATTTGATTTGAGTGTTTTTTTAACTAAACTTATTATAAATTCTAAATATTTATTCTTGCTATAAATTTAGCTAGCTTCTGATTTTGTATTACAACAATAATGCACCAAATAAATCAAAAATAATTTCAAATAATTAATTTTTCATGCATGTTCCGATGTCTTATTTTATTAAGAATAACTTATTTTCTTATGTAATGCTCATACCAACAACTGGTAAATAATTATTTATTTATTTATTTTTGTATAAGCAATCTGACCTGGCCAGTAATAATCTATTATGATTCTGAAGTCAAAATTTGTGGGCCAGAAGAATGAAAATAGTTTAGGATGATCAGAAACTGCTGCATAATTAATGGATGGAGGTATGGAAAAATATGGGAATGGGCAGTTCACATGTGCACATTCCAAGCAGTTATATTGCACATTAACCTCCTTTAACCTTTTAACTTCCACAACTTTTAACCTTAGAGGTCAAATACATTCAATTTTAATACTTTTCTAATAATTCTCTCTCTCTCTCTCTCATA